TATGTTTTTTTTTGTGTTAATTCTGTGTAAATATAGAAATTAAATGTATTATCCGTTAAATGTATTTATTATAATATATAATTGATGCAGGATTATGGTGGAGACGGAAATTATTACAGTGGGATATTTGGATATGATGGTCCATTCAAAGAAGCTCAACAGGCGATTGATTGGGCAAAACAGGTTGCAATTGCAGCTGGATTTTGCTTGGTAGTAGTAACTCATAAATCTCAACGGGATGGTAGAATGGATCGCCATTTTATATTTAAGATTCTCCATGGTCGTGTGTCGCACTACTGCTTGGGGTTGATTCTCACTGAGCTGAACAGGATGAGGGACTTGGCTGACGAAGTGTATGCTCGGTGTGGGTGTGCTATTTCAGTAACTCATGGATTACCTTGCGCATGCACCATTCACCGTGTTAATACAGAAGAAAGGGCGTCATTACATGTTGATCAGGTCCATTCATTCTGGAGGACGCTTGTTATTGGTGAGCATGCAGACACTCAAACGGCCGACCGTGAACAGGAGGAGTTGGAGCAGTTTCGTTCGATGTACGACCGAGTGTCCTCCAGCCATCCTTCTATTATTCGTGACGCTACTCATGTACTTCATGACATGTTCCACACGTTTACCTTAGATTATGAGGAACCCGAAGGAGTTGACCGTCCTCGAGGTCGACAACGGCGGAGCAGGAGTGCGTTTGAGTATATCCGTGGTCTTGGTCGTGGTCGTGCTCGTGGTCGGACATCGTCATCTAGTCGTAGTCAATCTTCATCGTCTATGAATATGCCCTTGAGAACTGGTACGTTTTGGTTGTTTACATTGCACATAGTTTTAAAGTGTTACTCCTGCCTTCTTAACTATCTATAATTATATGGTGAATAGGAAGAAACGATGTTGATCAGTTTCCGTACAAGGAAAGGATACCTGCGATCATCATGCCGTACTTGGAAGGGTGGAATGATGTAGTCGGAGATGGTAACTGCGGATTCCGGGTCGTGGCTGATGTTTTTCAAATGGGCGAAGACAACTACGGTTTGGTGCGTCAGTTCATGTACAGCGAAATTGCCTCTAACCGAAATGTTTATCATCATGTGTACCAGGATGACTTGGATGGCGCTCTACGGCGTATCCGGTGGGGAGGTGGACCTTGCGGCCAAAATCATTATTTTGACGCGCCCCTAGATCTGTTTGCCGTTGCAAACATTTACAAATGCGCAGTCATGCATTTCGGCCTGGGAGTGCATAGTCAAGCTTATTATCCTTGTACCACGGTTCTCCCTTGGCGGTCGCGTGAGACTGTCACCACACCGGTCAGAGAGCTAGCTATTGCGTTTCTTGGGTCGTCATACAGACATTTCATCCGACTAGACATGTCATCCGATTTTCCAGTGCCACCGATTATACCTCGGTGGTACAACATTCGCACAGCGAGCGTAGAGGGTTGGGATGCGCTATATCATGACCGGATCCACGAATGGAACACCCTAGCTGCATTTTAGTTTTTCATGTTTACATTCTTCTTATGTAATCTTATTTGTACGTTGCTCTTTTAATGAGAACATTAATCTTTTATATTGTATTGCTTACTGCATTCTATATGTTGCATGGGTAAGTTGCGCGGATCCACGAACGGTTATATCAAAATTTAAAAACAGCAATGATAATATGTTTAAGTTGGAAGCTAAAAGAACAATCTAAAATGTTACAAACTTACAACATAATGTCCAATTTAATAAATTAAAACGATAATATTTAAAGTGCTCTATAAATAAAATGACAAAACCATCAGTAATCCCTCCTCGACGACGACTCCCACTGCGCAAGGGTATGTTCCAGACTATCAACAACAGCTCTCACTGTTGCACTCATGCTGTCCTTCTCAAGAGAGAGTTTCTGTACGTCCTGCATTATCTTTCCCATCCACTGCATACAACAAAAAACAAAAGATGAAATACAATAACAACATATAAAACTTAATTAAAAGACAACGATAAATATAATATGAGACATACCGCTTCCATGGCAGTAGGCGGTGGCACATAATCATCATCGCTGTGGTCGAGATCTGCGATCAACCTCGGGTGCGAATACCGGTTGAACCATTCCATGTAGTAATGGTCACACATGGGAGGAACCCCAGAGGGCGGCCGCTGCACTCAGATGTGCGTCGTGCGTCCTACGTGCACTGGGGTACAAACACCGCTGCAACACGGATGCGATCTTCACACCGCCGTGTTCCCAAACACCAAGCGCCTCGGTGTACAGTGCAGCCCTGTCCACCGCCAACAACTCCGCCAGCAAATCTGCCTGATCCGCATCAGCCACAGCACAAAGTCGTTTACCCTCAACACGAATCCCCAGAATGGCCTCGACGTCATGTAACATGATCTTCATCTCATCGAACGGAAGGTGGAAAGAGTTTGTATCCGGCTGCCATCGCTCAATGAAAGCCGTGATCAGCGTACTGCCAATCTTATCGTGCATGGTGGCAGGAACGTGATTCACCCCAGTGCCCTCCAGTCGCTCGAACATCTCGCTCTCCGCCGGCCAAGCCTCTGCCCATGTACGCAAAAAGCTACAAGTCTTTTCCTGGGTATGACATTTCAACAACCCCGTAACTGAAGGCCTCTCCTGGTCCTCCCAAATACGGGCAGCTATGTGTCCTAGAAAGCTAGGAATCACACTCCCGTCAACAGGCCCACCGGGCACCTCACTCCTAACAACCCAAGAATCATTAACGACCCTCGACCGTTTCCTGCTTGCCCCAGATACAGTGGACGCAGATGATGTGCCAGGTCTACTAACAAACCTACCACCCCTACCCTTACGCACCTCCACCATATGTGTCTCGTACATGTCATCAACCCTCTGACTGAATGGACCGTAATCATCATACGGTCCACTGCCATCGTCCACATCCTCATCCTCATCCGCGCCCTCCTCCTGCTCCTCCTCTTGGTCACCCTCCTCAGCATCATCATCGTCATCGTCATCCTCATCCCGACGGTAGATCCGTTCTCTACGAGCCGAGGTCGAAATACCACGGGATCTAACATGTCTATGCCCCGACCTCTCCACTGAATAGCTTCTACTAAGAAGCTCTACATTCTTCCCCGCACCATGACGACGCAGTGAATTCTACAAAAAATTTAAAAATATATAAACATACAAAAAATTATACGAAAAATAGCTACCACTACCCAAATCAAATAAACTAAAAACATACTAACAAATTAACATAATAAAGAAATTAACAAAACACTTAAATAAAAATAATAGAATAAAAAATACACTAAGAAAGGAAATAAAACCAACACATAAGAATATATATAAACATAAATAATTCATTCCCAATTAAAATAAATTAACTAACCAAAAACAATATCAATAATAAAAATTAAAATAAATTAACTAACCAAAAACAATATCAAATGAACAAAAAAATGTACTAACAAATTGAAATTGAGAATAAAAATAAAAATGTACAAATAAAACAAACAAATAATTGTAAACAAAATATAAACATAGAAAAAATATAAACATAGAAAAAATAGTTATATTTTTAAAATGTACAAATAAAACAAACAAATAATTGTAAACAAAATATAAACATAGAAAAAATACAACAAAATTGATAAAATTTATAAAAATAAACAACAAAATATAAAAACAATTGAAAAAGATATTACACAAAAAAAAAACAATATTTTAATACAAATATATATAAAAAAAAGGGGGGGGGGCGCCTTGGCTGGACGCGCAGCCGGCGGTGGTGGCGCCAGCTGCAGACGCCGCAACCAGTGGGCTGGCGCCTGGGCTGGACGCCATAGCCACGGCTGCGGCGCTTTGAATAAACGCCACAACCGTGGCTATGGCGTCCAGCCCAGGCGCCAGCCTACTGGTTGCGGCGTCTGCAGCTGGCGCCACCACCGCTGGCTGGGCGTCCGGCCAAGGCGCCCCTCCTCCGTCACGGCGGTTTTCCCTTTTTTTTTTTTTAACAAATTGTACCTTGCCTCCTTGAGACCACCTTCCCTCCGCCGCCGCCGCCAATTCCTTGCCTTGTCGCCTCGACATTGCCGTTGTTTGAATATTTTTTTTTTTTGAGATGTTGAAAGAAGATGAGCGATGAGATTGTGAGTGATGAGAGTGTGAGTGTTTTTTTTAGGTCAAGGGCAATATTGTCAAATCAAGTGGATTTTGTGGGCTTTATGTGGAGATTTGCGGGCGATGTTTAACAAATCCCATATGTTAGGGTCGTGTCGAGTTTAAGGCACGAGGCAGAGCTTGTTAGGTTGACTTAATTTTATTATTAACTTATTATTTAGCTAGGTGATACGGAATATATATGCTAAGCTCTAAAAAAAAAAAATGTAAGAATCAAAGCCAACATACTTACCGTTTTAATAAAACAGTGTTTCAATGAATATACTCATTTTAATATTTTTAGCATTGTTTTTATCTTAATTTCAAAAGTAAAAATATAGTTTAATTCATTTCCACCTTTCTTAAGTGCTAACCATACATTTAAATCTTGTGTAATCAATTTTGGGGTCGAAGTTGGCTAGGAGGTGGTTTCGGGGATCCGGTGGATCATGGGGAGTGTAAAGGGTCGGCCAACCGTGTAGGTGTGTGGTTAGGGGGGTGACCAGCTGGTTTCTAGCGAGGTTAGACCGTTAGGGGTGGAGTTAGGGTTTGACGGTGGAAAATAAATGGCTGAAAATTTTGGATTATTTTTTTAATTGTTTTTAATTTTTTAAAAAATTTGGACCACGGTATATGGCTATTAAAAAAAAAAAACTCTTTCAACCGATTATCGATCATTGTGACCTTGGAGGCAAACTAATAGCATAATACGAATTATGATAATAAACCATTAAAAAATAAATCAGTGAATTATAAAGTGTATTTTTTTCTAAAATAAAGTAAAAATCATGAAATAACGAAAGCAATCTCAAAGGATTAGTACAAGTACTACAATTAGATTATTTTTTTTATTTTTTTGACAAAAAGTACTACAATTAGATCGAACACAAGAAGTACAATTAGTCGGGCACTCTAATCACATCAGGCCATCAATCGCACATATTCACCCTTGGCAACACACACTCTTCCTCTTCCGCACCTCCTCTCTCTATTTCTCCGGCGAACCAACCTTCTTAGGGTTAGGGTTTGGGTTTCGATTCTCCGACCACTCTCCAATGATGGAAAGGCACAGAGGTGACCGTGATCGTGACCGCGACCGCGACCGAGATTATCGTGACCGTGACCGCAATTTCCACCACCAACAACGCCGCCCTTCTCGGTTTTCCGATGGTCCTCCGGTGGACCACAGCCGTAGTCCTGGAAATTACCGCGGCGGCTTCTCTGGTAGCCGCCGCGGGTTCGAAAGCCCTCCTCGGCAATTACCCCCTGTTAGCGATAACGGAGGTTTTCATCATCCTCCCGTTGGTGGGTTTTGGCGTTTGGGCGGGGATGTCGGAGCTCCTGAAGCTGGTTTTGGGAATGAATTACCGGTTCCGCCTCGGCCGATGCCGATGCCGCAACAACCTACTCCTTCTATTGCTGGGCAGAAACGTGGCTTCCCTTTCTCCGGTCGTGGTGCTTCTCCAGGTAAATTATCTTCTCTCTCACAGTTGAATTTAATACTTGTATAATTTAAGCTTTATGTGTTCCAATTGCAATGTCATCTCTGTTATTGTAGAGGATCTGAATGTTGAATTAATTTAGTTTAAAACAACCTATAATTGCCTCTCCCAAGTTAGGAGTTTTTTTTTGTCTTGATTTAATTTAGTTTGGAAGAAATTGGCTACTAGAATGAGTCATGAACCAAGTTAGTAACTGCCCACTCTTCTCGTGTGGAAGGCCTCTAATGGTGGTGCAACATGTATGTGTCAACCTTTTCTCTTAACGTTTAACTATCTTGTGGAACCTGATTTTAATCAATTACTGAGGTTCCTCCCCAATGGGTTTTCCCTATAAAAACACCAAAAAACCTAACCCGAGCTAGTAATTGTTCAATATGAATTTGTGAACACTTTCTCCGAAGGTGTTACAACTTTGAGGAACTTTATTTTCTTAATAAATTAGTTAACTTCACCTACAAGCTCACATCAACACAGTCTTCATCTTTCTCAAATTGAGTTATATCAGGCGATTTATTACTTTTACAGGACTTTACTTCTTTCCTTCAAGAGCAGAGGGCATATGTTCACATCTGCCATATCTAATTTCTCCATCCAAGTGTTGTTTCATGCAAAATGCTCCCCCTGCTTAAAATCTGATAAATTTACTTCTAAGTTCATGTTGTTGAGGCCTGGCCTTAAATTTTTTCCAGTTGGCTTTTTAGGATCCAATGATTCTGCGAAGGCAGTCCTCAAATTCGAGGGATTATTTTAGTCCATTTTTTAAATCGTAAAAAAACACTTGTATAGTTATAAATGATACGAATCCTTACCACAAAGTTAATATTTCATAACATACTCAGTCACTAATTATTCTGACATATTGGTACTGCCTGAAGAAGAGTGGGGGGGGGGGGTTCAGTATAAAATTGCAGAAGAAAAATTAAACAAAGGTTAATAAGAGGGAAAAATGGATGTAAAGAAAAAAAGACAAATAAATAATAGGGGGGGGGGGAGGGATAACAAGATGGATGAAGAAGTCGAAGAAGAGGCAGAAATAAAGAAGAGAGAAGCTTGAAATCGCTGGCTACTTATTTAGTTTTAGTAATCTTGGGTGGTGATTAGGATGAGAGAGAGAGAGAGAGATAGTTTTTGCATTAATGACTTAACACATCTTGGTAAAAAGTGTGCAATTGCACCAACGCTTCTTGCGCACAAAGATTTATATCTCCTAATTCTTCTTGAACATAGCTACCCCCATGCAATGACGCACTTGAGATGTCATATTCCTAGGGGTACTTTGACATGCTTTCAAAGTAAAGGTAAGTTCAAGGAGTCTATATGTCCTAGAAATCTATCGTGTGGGTTCATGAGCCCCACTGGATGGCCTTGCAAGGGTTGTGCTTAAGCCCAGGATATTGGATTCTACTAAGCCAAAGGAGCTTTTGACCTTCTCTATCAAGTGAGCCCTCTACAAGCTTAAGTTGATTATGGCTTATATGGGTTATGCACTTTAGCTTGAGAGCTTCTATATTTTGCAAAGTAAACCTCTTTCACTATTAAACTTACCTTGAGATGAACCACATTCAAGACAAGACCTAGTCAGGCTCTGTATAGATTAGGTATAGTCTTTATAAAAGCTGTGTAGAACTCGGATCATGGTATATGAAATGCCAAGGGAGGAAGGAATACTTATAGAATATAAATAATGAGGTCTAATTATTTTCTCAATAATCACTTAATTACTACCATTGGATTGTTTAGGTGGATCTTGATTCTTCCATTTAATTTTATCAATGAGTAAAGTTTAAAAAATGCTACCATATGTTACATTGCATGGTGAAATTCTATTGACTAAATATCCTTATTTTCCTTGTGTATAACTAGTAAAATGTTTCATAAACTGTAAAATCTACCAAATTCACTTTGAATCTCATTTTGAATAACCGGTGATAAGCATTTTAATTGGTTGATTCTAGGGCTAGCAATCTATGACCCGGCCCGAACCCGAAGTTATTGGGAGAAACCTGAACCCAACCGAACAACCCGAATTCGACCCGGTTTGACCCAAATTTCATATTTCTTAATAATATTAAGTGTTACGCTATTTTTGATAGTTTCTAAGATCAACCCGAAATTGACCCGAAATCTGACCCGAACTCAACCTGCTAACTCGAATTGCCACCCCTAATTGATTCAGGCTCTTGTAACTATAGTCTTTACTCATTTTGCCTAGTATCTTTAGCGAAAAGGGGCTTGTCAATTGTTTGCACGCAGGAATACAAGTGGGCGTCTGATTTTAAGATGAGGCATTCTTGCCTATTGACGATAAAAACTGGGACAAGGGTCAATTGGGGTGTGGTGTGCGTGCTTATCAATTAAATATCAAGAACTGAGTTTGAGGGTCTATAACACTATACAAGTATTAAAGCAAGACGACAATTGGTAGGTAGTTTGAATTTTTTTTTTTTCATTGATTGGTTTGGCTGTAACATAATAATTGTGTATAAGGCCTAGAAAACTTGATTTAAAGGCCTAGGAAACATCTAAATTCTAAACATAGAAAGGGGGTTGAATTGCGACTCTAGGATCTTAATTTGGCAAATTTTATAGTGAAAAATGTAGCTTGAGTGTTCCTCGCTCTGACATTTCTCTTACTATGGACATGATTGTTAGTTCTGTGATCTTGTTACTCATGAAGATGTAGCTTCTCATTGGAGCTTGTTGGTGTAATTTTTGTCTTTATGAGGCGCATTTGATTGTTGACTAAGTGATTTGCTTTCTTTGTTTTTTTTTGTTGTGATTCATGGTCTACAATCTACATACACTTTCTCGTCAAAGATCTTTTTTCATTTCTTATAGTTGACTGATTTTTGACTAATTATCTCATCTTTATTTGATTTTTTTTCCTTGTTTGGTGTGATGTGGAACATGTACATTCCTCTTATTTCTATTTAATTTCAGCTCATGCCTTCTCCCTCTTAACCATCATTTTCCTCTGTGAAAATAAAGGACGAAGAAAAGAATTGGTCGTCATTATATGATATGTATCTTTGTTTCCCTGTTAATTATCTGACTGGTTATTTTCATTTCCAGAGCATTTTGATGGGAAAAATTTTGTTAAGCTTTTTGTGGGCTCTGTACCCAGAACTGTGACAGAAGAAGAGGTAAGCTAGTCTAAATTATTCTATTTCACATGTAATTCCTTCTGATCTTTGGACTCTTGGTAATCAAAGTCAAAGAAAATTGTATTTGGTGTTAATTTTGGTTGTGTGTGTGGATGAGAAACTCTTTGTTGTTAAAGAATATGTGGCCTAATGTGACTGTGTTAACATTTTATTTGCATTTTGTGCGTAGATGTACATATGGGTTGGCAGTAGATTTGATGCTGTTTAAGGCTTAATGCAGTCCATGCTCCTTGTTCCATTTCCATCTATTGTGTAAATGCATATCCTAGGTTATTTGAGCTGGATATGACTCATGCTCTTACTATGTTTTCACTTTTGGTGGAAACAAACTTATGGCAAAAAGTGAATTTGAATTTCACCTAGTTTTGTGGGTTGTGTTGATAGTTTGAATCCTTTAAATGCTGTATCTACAATATCCCCAAACCTATTATGATACTTGGACTGTTTATGCTTGCTTTTCCTCTTTTTAGGGTTGTTTGGGGAGGGGGGGGGGTGCTTGCAGAGGGTTTTCTTGGCACTATCTTGTCTGTACTGGTTGCGTCTCTTTCTTATGTCCAACACCTCTCTCTTATTCCCCCAAACCTCTGTGAGGGTTCTGGTAGTGATCATTAGACTATATTGCGCACAATCTGCAGCTAGAATGACAAGACTACCATCCAGTTTGTATCTTGCCATAGGCAGAGCTTGAGGTGATCTAGATATATATGCAGTCTTACCCCTTACCATTTAAATCTGGTGGAGATAATATAATTTATCTGAATTTTGGAAGGTCTGCGCAATTGTTTTCTAAAACATATTAGCAATTTCTTACAAATAGAAGAATATACTAAGAACAGAAACAATGTAGGTGGGAATCAGCAATTGTAATGTACTATTCAACTTGCGAGTGGATTCAATTGCTTGCCTACTTGCCTTGTTATGGTTCTTTGCACTTTTTGGAAAAATTTCTAATATGTATGATTATTCTTGTCAGATCCGACCATTGTTTGAAGAACAAGGAAAGGTGTTGGAGGTTGCCTTGATAAAAGACAAGAGAACTGGGCAGCAACAAGGTATGTGTTTTGAGTTGTTTTAAATAATTACTGTTTGTACCCCTTTCCCCTTTCAGGTGTGCTTCTGTGATGTGCGGTTGATGGGGAGCAAGTGTAAGCTATGTTTCGTCTCAGTTAGTTTTTGCAACAATTTCGAGCCTGTTGATTTTGGTTGCGACCTTTCTTTTAAGTCTGCAGTGTCAAACAAGAAGATGCAAGGGATGTAGACCTACTTAGATTGACTGTGTAGACCAGTCTTAAAATTGGAGCACCTGCTCTAGTACTAGTGGCTTTAGCAGTGGGGAAGGCATTACCCAGCAAGTCATTTGTAATGGGAATGTCTTCTGCAGATCTATAGCTAATTGTATGTCAGGATGTCTTGTTCTGAAACTCTTGTACACTCAAAAATTTTGGATTATAATTTGAATGGGTGTTTATGACATTTAATCTAAAGGGGCTCCTGTTGGTCAGATTTCTTTTACCATGGTATATAGCAAAAGTTTGGATGCCTTGGATTTCTTTTACCATGTTAGGCTGATAAGTTTGGATTTCCTTTTAGCTGCCTGAATGTTGGATGAGTTGGCTTTGATGTTGGTGACACTTTATGGTGCAATTATGGGATATTTTGATGATTTGCCTCCTGAACCTCTCAGGCCTCTTGCTGTTGGCCTAGTAGTTTTATATGGCAATACTTCTTTCTGTAGGGATTCAATGGATTAAGTTCTTGTTTCCGTATAAAGCTTGGTCACTGGTGTAAGGCATCAGAACATATTTAGTTTCCACACATTATCCTACTGTAGGATTTTGACATTTGGACATGATTGTATTTATTGCTGAAGAAATTGCAGTGAATTCCAAGTCTCTTATGCTAGATACAGACATTTTCCACTCGGTGAATCTGAAAAGTGTAGTCCTGAGCTTTGTGGGCAATTTAGTTTTAATGAGTTCAGTTTAGCTGGATTCACTTAGAATGTTGGCTTTTTAAGATTCGGTAGCTGTCTAGTGGTATACTGCACGTTTCTTCATAATGCGGCAGTGTGTTATCGTGGATACATTTTGATTCATTACTTTTTCAGTTTTTCTTTTGCATTTATTTAACAAGGTTATATTTAGCTTGTATAGTTAGTATTTTTTCTCATGGTAGTTGGTATCGTTTTATATCTGTTTCTGGGTTGGTTCTTTGTTTTAAAGATTAAAGTGCTTGAGGCAACAAGCGTTATCTTCAGGAATTGGTTGGTTCCTCATCTGCCGAAGGTGTAGCATTGTCTAATCACAGATGGCGGGATTTTTTCCTGGTTTTTGACCATTAACCTTCCGGAATATATTTTACCTTAGTTTGGGCTTTATCCCCATCGTACGGCCATATGACAGTTGATTCAATTGAACACACGAAACCAAGCCATTTCGTTATTTCGTAAAGTTAGCTATTTTTCTCTCAGTACTGAATTCTGCGCCTCTGATTATGAATCTAGGTCTCGTGTGGTTGAATTTTGCAGTGATCGGGTTTTTTTTTTTTTTTTTTTTTTTTCCTTTTAATATTGCTGATGCCTGATACCATCTAAGATGTTGCTGAATGTTGTGATGTTCCGTCCTAATTGAATGATTTTAATCTCTGTGCTACTACTATTGATGTCTATTGGTTATCACTAGACACTACTATGTGGGATGGGTGCTTGGATATATAAGTTTAGGTTAAAGATAAGCAATATTTTCCAATGCATCCTTTTAATGTTGCACACTAGTTACAGGTTATGGTAACGTGGATAAAATTTTCCTATATCTCAGCTTCAAATCTATAAAAAAGCTGGCTCAGCTGTGAGCTTCCCGGATTCCAGGTTACGAAATCTGACGGATTCTAGGTCGTTTGAGTTGTTGATTTGGTGAAACTTGTAGCAAGTGACAATTCCTTTCAGCATTTGCCTTGTTTTTTTTAAATACTATGTGTCTGTTATGCTGGCAGCTTTTCCTTAAAATCTTAAAGGTATCATTCTTTAGTTTTTGGTAGTCAAGAATACAGGATGCGTGAAAGCTTTTGGACTTGTGACAGCTTTTTCTATTCAAGGGTTTATTGTATGGTGCCCATATTCTTAGATGGCAACAAGTTTGATATACGTAGTATCTTTTTTTATTCTTGCTCATCCTTAACTTTGTTAGGCTGATAAGCTTTTTGAAGCAAGTGTTGTGCTGCAGTTAGTATCTGCTGGTTCTCAGCGATGTATTATTCTGGGTTCTCAGTATTTTTCATGGAGCAATAATTTTCAAGATTGTAATTGTGCGCAATTTAATATTTCCCATGACCCATATTACCTATTTACTGTGTGATCTTGGGCACTGTTCGTCTCTTTTCATGCAATGAGTTTCACGATTCCAACTGATATCTGCAAACCATGTCTGAGAATGTAGTTGACTATTTGTGACTAGCTGGAATTAATATTGCATCTACCAAAAATGTCTCTAGTTTGGTCGATATTAAGTAAAACTTGTAGCTATTTGAGCTGAGCTGGAGGAATTGTCACTTGAACCAGCTGACACACATCCTTATCTTGCTATGTCGTTATTGTCATATTCAACCAATGGCATTGCAGGGGCTTTTATGTATAAATCTGTAGCATATTATTTCCACTTTTCTTTTGCGTGGTTTATTTTTGTGTGTCTTGGATGTATTGCTATGATCTTATCTTGGGAAAGACAAGTATTTATTGTTAATTTTCTATTTGGTCTTTATGGTTGAGCTCTTGTCACATCGTTTTACATTCTAGGCCTGACTAGCTTGCCTGCCGTGGTTAGGTATAATATTATTAGAATCCTTTTGGGAAGAAATATTTTGTTTATTGGTGTTATATATGTTTGATGCCACAAAGTGCTGAATTTTGGGCTGCAACGGTCGTCGCATGATGTATCTTTGACCTTAATTCTTGAATTTTGATTGAGTTGTAGTGAGGCTTCGTATCAGTAATGTAGCAAAACAAGATGGACCTATTATACATTAATAGTTTAATGCGTTATTCTGGATCAACATAGGCATTGTTAAGGAGCTGTAGTTGGACTGTCATTTATGAATGTTGAGCACCGAACTACCGGTTGCCGTTGCCAGATACCTTAGTAGGGGGGAGTAGTTGATTTTATGGTATCTAATTTTCTATGATATGGAGACCCTTTTAGTTTATCCAATGGTTTATGCCTTGTTAATGAGGTGTGTCAATCCGGAGTATTATCCGGATTGTTAAGCTCGTGTTCCCGAGCCCGGTGTACAAAATTTCAAGTATTTTTTACCCGTATTTGCTGCTATCCTGCTTTCATACTAATTTGGAATAGAGGCTGCGATTTTATGAGGTGCCTTTAGTTTTTTTTTCCCCCTTCGATTCTCTTCCTTGGGGCCACACCGTCTTCATTCACTGACCTATGACAATGGACCCACTTGGTGCTTTTGGAAGTTACATCAGGATATGCAGATTATGTTCTTGAGTCGTCTATGTTGGTTTTCATAGAGAGTTGTTGTAAGACTAATGTTGGTTACTATGTTGGCTAAATGCGACACTTTTTTTCCCATGTATTGCTTTCTTTGTGAACATTCAAGAGCTGTTTTCCCTCTCGGATTATGCAATTCTTGGTGCTTACCCAGGATTATTAGGGCAAGAATATCTTGCTTTTCATTCTTAAAAATGGGAAAGTTATATGAGTTTCCAATGTTCACTTGTGAACCTTTTTAAATGATTCAGCTGTGTGAGTGGTTCATTATGTCATGCGTGGCCGTTTTGGCTCCTCATTTTCAGGACCAGTCTAACTGCACTGACATTTGATGCTTTAATCCAAAAGTCATTTTATGTAGCTCTCACTGCATTTTACTAGAGTTGTATCATCTTATTGCACCATCTGTGCATTATGTGTGTTATTTGTCCCTTTTTATTGTCTCATTGCTTAATATCTCACTGCTAGATGCATAAAGTAGCTCAGTGAATCATTTTATGGGCAAATTCTTGACTTCTGCAGGGTGTTGTTTTATCAAATATGGTACTTCTGAAGAAGCAGACAGGGCAATTAGAGCACTACATAACCAATATACTTTGCCTGGGGTGAGTTATCTTGCCTCTGGAGCCAGTTTGGCATATTGGACTATGCTAACTATACATGGTTTGTCATCTTCAGGGACTTGCTCCTATACAAGTTAGATATGCTGACGGTGAACGTGAACGTCTTGGTAATGGTATGTAATCTTCAGGGTTCTATGTGTTAAGCTTCTGAGATACTGCTCTGGGCTTTCATTTAAAAAATTGTTTTTTCTTCCTTCCCATATTCTTTCACCCTATTAACTAGATTCTTAATATTATTTTTATCTTGGTTCCTGACTATGCTAACTATACATGGCTCCCTGAGTTTGTCCCGTTTGACATTTTCAAACTTTCAATACTTATTTTTTTAGTATTATCTTTAATTGTGTATAATTTATACTCATAAAATGAATATATTGAAACTGAACATTGAAACAAATTTCTCAAGATACCTCATGATTATGTTTAGGTTAAAGTTTCTTTCTCCTTAAATGTGATATGCCAAATTTGACAAACATAAATGAACATGCTAGGAATCAGCCACCTACAAGCAAACTCAGACTACAAACATAAATGAACGTGCTAGGAATCAGCCACCTAACGTGCTAGGAATCAGCCACCTACAAGCAAACTCAGACTACAAACATAAATGAACATGCTAGGAATCAGCCACCTACAAGCAAACTCAGACTACAAACAGCAATTAGAATTGAGAGGGGGGGATAGATTGTATTGTTTGATCAGTGTAATCACTCAATATACCCTTTCATTCGAGAGGAAAGGAGCTCTCCAACTAAGCAAAAGCTTAACAATAATTTTCGCATGCTTATTACAACTGAATTCCCTCCCTTAATTAAACTTAGCCTGCCAACCACTTGCTAATAGATTCTTCTCTCACTATAACAAACTCCTCTTAACAGAATTATAAATGCTAATGATTCCCCCGCCCTTGCATTATTAATTGGTTTTACTGCCTTTGCCATGCTTCTTCCTTGCGTATGTGATCATCACTGGAGGCCTAGGATGCTAGGAGTATCTCTACCAAATCGAAGGGAGTATTTTTGTATGATTTAGCTGCAAATTTATCTCTCTTGAAGTTAATGATTCCCTTTTGTGTTTTAAAATGTCTTTGGGCCAGTGGGGGTGCATCTGTCTCCATTGATCTTTTGCATTCTTTTCTTGTTAAAAAAATTATGTATCTTTTGTATTGCTTGTTTTGGAGATTTTGGAATTTGGTGGTGGGAGATTTTAAATTTTGAAGGGATGACATGAACTAGTTAAATAGGCACCATTCTGCATTATTGCTTGATTGTTTAAAGCTCATTGTGTTGTTTAATTTGTCAGGCACAGTTGAGTACAAGTTGTTTGTGGGTTCACTGAACAAGCTTGCTACAGAGAAGGAAGTGGAGGAGGTATTATTTGGAAATTCTTATCTTTTTTTTGGTATTTGTAGTCCGTAGTCTGTTTCATATGATCCAGCTGATGAGGTTAATAAATATAAAAGTATGTTACCACTTCACCTTATTGCTCAACTTTGCTGAAATTTTTTTGAATGACACGTCATCAGGTCATCTGTTAATATGAAGACCACTATTCTTGTGATTAATGTCTTGTTCATCTTCTAAACCTAATTGGATCTTTTGCTGTCTTTGAGCCGAAATCTGTTTAAATCATCACATCTAATGGCATAAATGTTAATATCTTTTTTTTCCTATAGGCATTAAAATTCTTTCCATCTGAACAATTGAGAGGGGGGGGGGGGGTTCATGAGGTCCTAGACTCTTGTTACTCACCCAGGGTCTACTCTTTGATTTACAAACCATTAGAAACAGTTTTAAAGTGTTCCTTCACCTCTATGTTACCCCCATTCAGCACTACTGCCTCCCTACCTATTCTTCTTGTTAAACAACTGATTCATCTTTCTCTCTTATAACAATACCTTCTCACCAATCTTACAGTTTTATGCTCACCTTCCTTTCCTTGTAAATGATTTTATTGGTATTCTTGTTGTTTATGCTGTGTTCTGCTTCTCTCCATTTACCAAAAGATTGATTTTTTTTTTTTTTTTTGGTTCAATATTTTTAAAAGTTACTCTTGTTCCCTTAAATTTTGGGTCTCCCGTCCCTTTCTATTAGTAGTTTTAGGTGAATAATTGATTGGCAGTGATTACAGTAAGACTGTAAGAATTTTTGCTGGAGTTCAAAAGTTCAGTGTAATACTGCCGGCTTTCGAGCTGTAGTGACTCCTAAGGTAAAATCAAAGGGCATTATGATGGAGAAGCTCTGCAAGCCTTCCGCTAAGTGTTTTAATACCATCTATTCATTTAAAGCACTTGTAATTTTAGATTTTTAGGTACATCTTTTGATCTGATATTATTAATTTATTATTACCTTTAGCTTATCGCTAGGTTTTTAAATCTGCTTATCGCAAGATTTTTAAATCTTTTCTCAAAACGGCTTCTACTTGATAGCTCCCTCTTTCTAGTCTATGGTTGTGCCAATATATGATAAAATAGCTAGTTTCAGAATTTATAGGTTCTTCCCCCAAACCTAGTGAAGAACTGCTGTTACCATTCTTGTCTGGTAAGGGGGATTTGTATTCCTCCTTTACCTCTATCATGACGGCATTTACAGCCTTAGCCATCAAGGTCTTTACATCCATCATAGTTATGTTGTACACTTGTACTTACAGATAGGAACTCAACAACCTGTTAATGGATGATTGTGAAAGATTTCAGTTCACTTGAATAGTTTCTGTGTTGAAATGATTTTTTGCGGTCTAGGTTTGCAGTTTTTTCTACTGCCATCTTACCATTGATTTCCTTGCAAATTATCCTTGGATGGTTGGCAACAGCTTGAACTAGATCTAAGGAATAATGTATTAGAGCTTTTCTTGTGCAAAGACTTGAATTGAGTTCTGATTACTCTCAAATGAACTTGGGTAAACCGATCATCAACTTCATTGTACTTCCACAAAATCTCCTTTTTGGAGTGCCTCAAATGCAACTAAGTAAATCCCAATCACATATGTAAAACTTGTCTCCACGTTCCACAAAACATGCCTACAGGATACAGTGATACCCGATTTTTCAACTTCTGTATGTGCCTGGGAAAAGAGAGAGAGGGGGGGGGGGGGCTTGGGGGTTGGGGATTGTATCTATAGCAATGGGAGGTCACTTGGCCAATAACTGGGGCAAGCTACTCATTTTGTGTCAATTAACTTACCTGTGGAGATACTATTAGATTAATTTTTAATACTGCCGGAAACCTTTTAACTTTCACCTGATAATATTCTAGTACCATCATATAGTACTGCCAAGGCTCGTATGAAAAGAACTTTAAACTTGACAGATCTACCAAAACGTTACAATTTATCATTATAAAATGTTATAATACTTCCCAACACTTGCTAGTATCGTTTAAAAACCTTCATAGTACTGCCAATACACATCGGTCTTGCATTGTTCACTTACCTGGCGAGGTACTACCGGCACACTTTCCAGTACTGCTAGAAACCTTCCTAGGTCTTTCAGAACCATTTTTAGTACCACCAAAAGGTTTTCCAGCAACCTCAAACATTTATAGAGTACTACCAAGGCACTACTCACGTGTGGGACAAACTTTTATATTCAATAGTCCTACCAAACATTATTGAGCACCTCCATACATTTCATTTTACTATCATAAGACTTTCTAGTAACAAAAAAATTCATGGTACTACTGGAACCAAAAATTTCATTGTGCAAAAATATTGTTTTTAACCTTTTGTATTTGTTCCAAGCCACATCATATAACTAATATATAAAGCTAAACTTTTAGCCAGGCCACGAGATAACGACACTAGGTATTCCAACTGTTCGCCAAGTGCCGTGCCACATAGGTGACAATTAATTATAATCATGCCATGTAAGATTTATTTGAATATATTGTTTTTGTAAAATTATGATAAAAAAGTTGGATAAAAAATTAAAGTTATTTTAGAGTTTTATTTTCAATGAAATTTAGATAGATCTAGTAGGGTAAAAAAGTTATTTTAGAGTTTTGTTTTCAATAGAAATTTTAGTTTTAAATTTTATTTTCAATAAAATACCAATATTTCTATACAAATGACGGATCCATAGACGTATAGAAGGAAAAAATAAAATATCAAAGACGCATGTATATAATTGTTTTCTTAAGTTTTTTCACTAGATATTCAGATAAAATTAAAAGAGATCACAGTTTTAGTTGGCCGTACTTTTTGGTTGTACAATTATTAATACCCATAAACGGACAAGTATGATTATCAAGTGATTAATAATCCATGAGTAGAAAATTCGTATAACATATATATTTTAGATAAATTGTTTTATTTTAAACTTCAATAAACAATCCGGGCATCGCACGGGGCACAAAACTAGTGTAGCTTAAATCCTTGGTGGGATTTAGGGACATTTGGAGTCATCAGCTTGAGATAGGTGCCTGGGTGGGGTCTTGTCATGTCTACTAGTAGTTACTCCGTATTAAATATTTTTTGTAATTCTGCTGCTGTTTCATATGTAAACCTTGGTCTTTTTCTGTTATGGTGTTACCTGCTCTTTCATGCCCTAATTTTCAGGCCTTTCTAATTTTGTAAAATTATCTACTTCTGTTGTGCTATAATTCCTTGAATGCTAGCTACATATTTAGTTGCATTTTCCCGTTTAACAGATTTTTGCACCATATGGTCGTATTGAAGATGTATACCTCATGCGTGATGAAAGGAAGCAGAGTAGAGGTTTGTGCTATTTGCTGATTAATTTGATAATTTTTTTTTTCCTCTATTAATAACTATTCTATCTTATGTTTTTTTTTTCCTCTATTAATAACTATTCTATCTTATGTTTACCCTTCTTCCTTCCCTTCACCCCTCCTGAAAATAAAAATTCATTTATACTTTTACTTTTAATGCTTCTTTTTGTACCCCAAGTGAGATTTATGTGAACCTTTCTCAGTCGTTTGATTGATAATTCTTTTATTTATGGAGAGTAACTCTGTTGATCCATCTATTGGCACTATGTCTCAGTGGAACTGATACCCCTGTTGTTAAAGCATTGGTGATTGGAACATAGCTATCTAGCCTTGGGCCGTGGAGGAAAAGGAAAATTTAAATTTTCTCCGTGTCTTGACTTTTTGGTTTGTAATATCTGTCACTGTGTGGTCCAAATGATAATTCTTTTCTGGCCCCGTGTGTGAATTTAAGAATTCTTGTTATGAAGTTCTTCCTCCCACTTTCAATCAGTATTTAGTTATTCACTATTTAGCAGTAGCCAAATTATACACACATGCAAAGGTATGTATAGAGATTGGTTCACTGATTAAGTCATCATTTTTTGTATTTTCCCTATGAAAGGCGTGACACTTATTTTTGGATGGAGAGAGATTCTATTTAACCCCATAGAAGAAACCTTGACAACCTTCTACATACCTAGTGTAGTTTTTGCTTTGTTTGTTTCTTAGTTGTCACCAGTTTTTCTTTGTCACTGATTTATGACTACTTTTGTAAAGGCTGTGGATTTGTCAAGTTTTCCAGTAAGGATTCGGCAATGGCAGCTATCAACACTCTGAATGGAATATTTACAATGAGAGTATGCTTTTATATATTTTATGATTATTTTATTTGTAAAAAATTTTGTTGCTATCTTCTTCCCATTGATAGTATGCATGGGTTGTGATAGTATCTTATTCGACAAACTCAATTTGCTTGTAGGGTTGTGATCAACCTCTGATTGTTCGGTTTGCTGATCCAAAGAGGCCTAGGGCTGGAGAACCAAGGTTTGACTATGCTTATAATTTGTATCTTACATTATGTGTTTCTTCTGGAACTGTTGTGATGATCAACGTCTCTGTTCTTTGTCAATAAACACTAGATGCTGCAATTAACCCCAACTTGTAGAACAATAATATCATTGAACATTTTGGTGTTGTTTATAGTTTCTTTACCTGTAAGTCTTTAACTTGCTCATGTGTCCAGTAATTTTCTTTTGTTTTGGATTGTGGTTTGCTAGCATTTTATCCACCGGGCCTTTTAATATTTGCCTATCTATGTTTTTTGGCTCATCTATGGTGTTATCTGATTCAATGTTAGCTGTTATTCTGTTAAATATTATCTCTGACATTGTGGTGCAACCAGTAAATAAGACCCATAAACAAAACTTATACGCAGACAATGACTCTGGATAATCTTCATCATATGACAAAGTATATCAATGTGATTGCTGTGCTCTTTTTACTGTGGTGTTGTCTGTTGAATATTGTGTCCGGCATTGTGGAGCAACCAGTGAATGAGACCTGTGAATAATGCAGAAAATACCTCTCTAACTTCAATTAGAGTTTGATATTCTTCATCCTTTGAATAATTATACAGAGATTGCTGTACTCTTCTTACCATGGGACTTAATGTCTAACATAGGCTTTTGATTAGTAAAAATTGACTTCTTATAATATTACACTACCTTAATAGAGGAAGTTTCAGGTATAAAATGCTGTGTAAGTGAATTCTTTGGGTTGATGCTAAATATTTGGCTGCTAGCCTGCTACTGATATACCTTAATTGCAAATGAATATATCTTGGTTTCAAAGGGGGTTTTCAAGGTGGTTTATTCAATATATTTCTTTTGCTTTTCTTAGGGCTAATCCTGCTTTTGGAAGTCCAGGTTTCGGTCCTTCCCCACCACAAGGAATCCGGTACAGTACAATTTTTCATAAAATTCTCTTTTGTGGGGGTGGGGAAGCAAGAATTTTTTTGTTATCAATTTCAAAGTTCAGAAAAATGTTAATTTAAAATGGTCTGATGATCTATCTGTTGACAATTTATAAGTTGTTTTGACGATCTGTTTGTTGATGTTTGTTATTTATACATTTATGTTTTCAGGCCAGCCTCAGGTATCAATATTCCTGTTCCTATGGGTGGTCGGGGACCACCAAATGCATGGCAGCCTATGAGCCCGCAAAATCTAGGCCCATCTCCAAGCGTTGGTGTCCATGGGTTTGGCAATCAGTTTCCTCCTAGGTCTGGTGACACAGCAATTTCTGCGACTCCTGTAAGTGGAAAATATCTAATTTTGTTCACTTCTTAAAACATCTGACATCCCTGTGAAGAAGAAACAAAAAAAATTACTCCCTTTGTCCCTTTATTAAGAACCTATTTGGGTTTTTTCACGGGAATTAAGAAAGTTGGTGAAAGTACATAAGTGCATGTGGAGTTAGAGAGAGATAGAAAAAAAGTGGTTGGGAATAGTTGAAGAGAGGGAGAGAGAAAGTGTTGGGAATTGATGTAAAAGTACAAAATAGAGATGACAACTCATCAAAAAGTGGAGAATATTCTCATATAGTACAACCTTAAAATAGTAATAGGTTCTTAATTTTGGGCTCCTCAAAAAGGAATACGGGTTCTTAATAAAAGGACGGAGGGAGTATTTTAAGGCCTGGGATATATGTGAAGTATTATCACGTATATATACTTCTCAGAAAAATAGGTGGACGTGGAGCATCTATCTTCACTGTAGTATGTTGTTAAAGTTGAAATCAGAGAAAATATATGTGGTTGAACTATGCTAGTTAGATAAATCTTTTGATATACTCAGTTACCATCATACCCCTCTTACCCCACTATATCTACACCTCTTTACCTCTCTTACTACATATTTTAGCATGAGGGTTTTGCTACAATGTATTGCCAATCTTTCCCTCTCTCTCTCTTTTTTTTTTTTTTTTTAAATAGCAATAACTCGAGTAGTATGAACTGTGAATTAGTCACTTATTTTGCCCCAAATGCTAGGGTTCTCATTTTGGTCCTGGAGGCAGGCTCACAGAAGCTTCCATTGGAGGAACTGTTCCTGCTGCTTCAACATCTCCACAGGTAAGTCTTTTTTCTATGTAAGTGTGTCCATTGTGTTCCTTTTTTTCTCTACGCTTTCATGTGCTATTAGTAACTTCTAAACGTTGGTTGTAGAATTTCAAGCAATCTTTTTCACAAGTGCCTCCAAGTGGCCAGCAAATATCACCTTTGCAGAAGCCCCTTGAGTCACCTCAGCACATCCCGACTCCCTTACAACTACGTCAAGGTGCAGGAACATATAATCAGGCACCTGTTTCTCAAGCTTCTGTGAGGCCCCATTATCCCCAAGCTGGTGTTCAAGCCCCATACAGCCAACCATATCCATTGCAACAGCTTCATGGTTCAACTGGCAGTATGCCTACTCAGTTTCAAGCGCAGCAGAGTGCCACAACACCTATGACCATACAACCCCGACCTAATGCTGCATCTACAAACACAAATTCACAGCTGCCTACTTCAACACCACAGCAACCGCTTCCTTATCAACAATCTCCATCTCAGATAACACAGATGTTATCACAACAGCGACAGAATCTGCAAGCTAGCTTTCAGTCATCTCAGCTGGCATTCTCTCAACTTCAACAACAGGTTCAAATGATGCAACCATCAATGCATAACCAACCAGTACAGCAGAATTTTCAGGCTTCCAGGCAGCAGGTGGGCAAAAGACAATTCTGCAAGTGCATTTTTCTTATTTGCTTGTTTGTTTTAACAATTTGATACTATGCTATACTAATATGGATTTTTGTATGATTTTCTTAGCTGTATGATAATTTTTTTCCATGAAAGAATTGTAGTTCTAGGGGTTTGTTTCTGGACTTACTTGGTAATATATCATGTTTTCACCTCTCGTCTTTGCAGACAAGTGATATTGTGTGTTTGTGTGTGTGTGTGTTTGTGTGTGTGTGTGTGTGTGTGTGTGTGCTGTGTTGTGTTGTGTGTGTGCATCCGTGCAAGCATACCCAGCTGTATGGATTCATGCACTGACTTTATGGTTTGTAAAGGTTATCTGTTCAGGTATTGTCGTGTTTGGATTCATTTACTGAAATTGTGGTTTGTAAATGTTGACTGTACAGGGATTGTCATGTAGATAAATTTATACTACGGTATTTTAATTGATCTTAATTGCTTATCTTACCATAATCTTTGTCTTGTGAGCTTTATTTTCTGTGCTTGGTTGTCATGCACTGAGTAGTTATTAGTCTTTTCATACTCTAATAAGCAATGCCCTTTTGTTTAGTCACAATGGGCTGGTGCCACACCAACAACAGCTTCCAGTACACCTGCTGTCCCACCACCCTCTGACACACCTTCCACATCTTCTACACCTGTTGCAAGTGCTGCTGCTAGACCAGCTCCAGTTAAATGTAACTGGACAGAGCATACCTCTCCTGATGGGTACAAATATTATTATAACAGTATAACTGGTGAAAGCAGGGTAAGATGGTATTTCTTTCACTTCTTAGATTTGTTGTCTTACTTTTTCTTTCATTTAAGTTAACATGTGAAATTGTACATTCAAAATATGTAGTGGGTGAAACCCGAGGAATTGGCGTTATATGAGCAGCAACAGCAGAAGCCAACTGCTCTACCACCATCTAACCAGCCAAGCCTGCTTCCAAATCAGCAGGCAACTCAGTCACAACCACCGCAGTTTCAGACACAATTTCGCAACACTGAGCAGTTACAGAATCCGCCTTTGTCATCAATGGTTAGTCATCGTCCATGTTTTCTATTATAAATGCTTATTTTACAATTTACTATGCTTTTGCTCACTTTTGTTTGTTGTCTTGTTTTCTTTATGATTATAGTACCAGGCTCCGCGAGGTATGGGCAACGTTATGGCTCAGGTAGGTTGCTTAATTTACTGTTTAAGCATTTCAATTTCGTACTCTCCTTTTTCAGGCTTCTTGTCAATATAAAGGGTGGTATAACTTGGCTTATTCTGGGCACTGTCTGACATATTTGTCCCGATTCTAATCTATGCTACAACCGTTTATTGTATAACTTCAAATCATGCACTTGTTTTCAAAGGCAGCTCATTTATATCTTTTCTTTCTTTTTTCCCCCGCTCCTAGCCTTTATCGGTAAAACCCAAACTATTAATTAAACCAACAATATCAATAGCTATGTTTCGAAATTTCACCTTTGCCTTGTCTGGGTTTTTAATTGCCATCATTGCAGTCTTATTGCCAATTCTTATCTCGACCCTGTTTCCTCGGCATGTCACATCAGTGTCCAAGCCTTATTGCTGACATTTCTGCTTGTGATGCTGATCTTGCCTTGATTCTGGTGCTTCCATTACTGACTACTTTGGTTGTTCTGTATTACTACACTATATGCAGCAGCTTCCCCTATGCCTCAAGTCTTTGCCTTTTGCTTCCAGGCTCTGTCTGCTCCTCGATGATTGGCTTAGAACCATAAGACTCTCTTTACCCAAAATGTACATCTATTTTGTGTAAAGCTTGTACTTATGGCTGTTAGTGATCGGGCTATCTGGGTGATTTGGAGGGTTAAATCTTGATTAGTTTATCTGGTTCTTTTACAAGTCGTCTGTGTTTATAATCTTAACTCTTTAGGAACTTCATATATTGAAAAGATGACAGAGAACATAGCATTATGTTAATTTGAAGAATTGTGATTAGAATTTGCAGTATTAATATGGTAGGGATTAGGGTGTTTGTGGAACTTGGTTTTGTAACCTATTCTGGGTAAAATTTATTTACAGAAGGGTATAGATAAGGAGTGGGTAGCAATAATGGACGTAGAGGGAGGTCATCCTATGCAGTATCACCAGCTTTTGAATCCTCTGAAATGCATGTACTGTATTCTTGTCTAATTAATACTCCTGCTGCTCTTTTAATGTTCTTCCTTCTCAGACTTTTTGTCTCGCGAAAAAAAAAACTCCTTGTAGGAAGAACAAAAATAACAGATGGATTTTTCTTTTTTGTCCGTATAAAGATATAATAGGGCAACATTTTTTTTTTTTTATTTTTTTTTTTGAAAGGAGGGCAACATTTTATTTGGTGTTTTAAGGATTAAGAGTTGATATACTACAACTATTGTTCATTATATCAAATTTTATGTCTTAACAATGTAAGTGCAAGTTTTGTTTTTTGTCAAGGTTATCACTTATTATGACATGTTTCAAAGCACAACCTGTTAAATTTAGGAAGTGTATAATATATTAATATTTTTAGGGTGGCTCAACTTTTCATGTATTTACTTTGTCCCATCTGAGGTCTTATTTTCCTTCTCATTAATTGTTACTGAGATATATAAGGCCTAACATCCGCGATTGTGTATGCAAGTCTGCATGTGTGTGTATATTAAATAATTGTAAGGGGTTGATATACTGTGCTTTATTTTGTAGGAGGCTTCTTATCCACAATTACAGGCACCTGCTAATTTAGCCAATGCTCGCTTCCAACAAGTACTTCCTAGCTCTCTTGTAGTCTCTGCTTTGAATAAAGTTAGTGTCTTTTAGAGTTAGTTTTTCATCTTATGGGTTCATTTATTGCAGGGCCCACAGGCTGCACAGGAATGGAATTGGAAGAGCAACTCTGGTGGTCAGTCAAAGTATTTCATTTTCGCTTGGACATTCAAAATAACTCCCCCCATCACCCCCACCCCCCTCCCCGCTGAGTAAAATAGTGCTGATTTTCTCATCTTGTTTTTTGGCATACCTGTAGGAACCTGAATTCATAATCCAGCTCTGCATCTGAGTGATGGTCTAGTTAAGGATTGGGTCAATGGAATCCATGACGTTTTGGAGCCAATGTATCATCAGTTACAAATACCTGGGCGCTGTGTATGTAATGTAAATGTTGGGTATTTTGCTCTCGTCCTGATAATTTTATCAGCCTAAGTTAGTTTACTGTCTACAGTAGGTCTCCTGATCGCAGCATTGTTATTGCTTCTATTATTGAGGCATTCTAGGTGGAGCTTTAATAGTGTAGTATGTAGTAACTTATTCATCCCCGCTATCATTTTGGTAACTGACTAGAGTCATGAGAGTAGGTGCTCTAATCCCAACTTGGAGTGGGAAGTTGCCAAAGTAATAGCATAGATATGTACCATATATTTATTGATAATCACTCATACCATGGAAAATAAAGAAAAATGATAGTGTTACACCAATCTTTCAATAACATCATCATTATATTATAAACTACTCTCTGTCCCTTTTTATTTTAAACACACCTAGAATTTATAACATTAAAATTTTGAAATGTATTGAAAGTTGACTAACAAGATCTCTTGATATTGTTTGAGGTTTGTAATTTGTGTTGGTGAGTTTTGTGATCAAAGTTTTCAGAAAGTGACCATAAAAGTCAAGGCATAATTAGGAACGGATAGTATATGAATTGTGTCCGGAATTGGGCGGTGTTACTGTGTTGGTAAAGAGTGGCATGGAGCTTATTTACGTGCTACTTTAAAAGTGTATACTACCTTTGGTCCAAATTACTCGCAACTTTGAAATATTTTATATCTTACAAATAATACCCCAAAGTTGCGAGTAATTTGGACCGGAGGTAGTATTTTTACTAAGTTTAAAGTATTCATTTTGATCTTTGCTACAACACACTTTGTCCTGACTTGTGGGTTGTCTGATCACCTTAAGGTTTAGTTTCGTTCAACTTATTTTCGTGAAATTAATTTATTTGAGATAGTCTGAAAATTTTGATCATATAAATTATTCACTTGTCAATTTGTCATGTAGATCAGTCCAATTCAATCTTCCTAACTAAAATGACAAAACTCTACTATTGCTTGATTTGCATCTAACCCAAAACAGAATTTGCACACAATTTAAAGAGCAGTGCACAATGTTTAGGATAGTTTTTATGGATTTCTATTTCAGATGATTTTCAAATCAGAGTTCACCAACTTCTTAGCCATACATAGTACACGATTACATTTAACACATAAATTAGAAAATTCCAAACAGCAACACTTCGCAGTTCACACAATAGTATAAATTAAAATACTCCACCAACTACTTGTTTATGCATCATCAGTTAATAACACGGCAATTACGACGAATTTCACCACTCTCAGTAAGAACTCCTATGCTTCCCATCTTGAGCATTGCAGCAATGAAGTCCTCAAAGAATGCACCTTCATCCTCGGCATATGATCGGACAATCTCACCTGTTTGATCAATATCGCCGCCTACAAGGACTTGATCAGAGGGCAGTAATCCTTCTCCGGATAAAAGGTTAACATAGTATTGATTGTCAAATGTAGCTGGAGTTACTAGGTCTAAGTCAGCTAGAATATTGCTGTTGCTGTTAGATTGTAAGCAAAGCTGCTGCAATGATTGCAAGAAATCAACATTGATGTCCCCTCTGCTGGTTTGAAGCCGAGAATTGAAGGATGAACACCGAGCTTTACCAAGAGTATGAGCACCTTAAAAAAAATGTCATTTTAAAATTTTAGTTCATGACTATACGGCTATACAAGTATACATTGTTTTCCTAACTTTTTCGCTGCAATCTATTATACACTTGGGTGTACTTAGAACAGATGGAAATAAAGTAAAAGTCTAACCATTTGGAATTGAAATGAACATCAATATCGTCTTACATCTGAGTGCATGCAAGAAGTTGCAACTTTTTCGCCATTATTAAATTAAATTTGTGTAAATTAACTTGCAACAAAATAATGTGTGCATAAATAAATTGCAAGCCAAACTTAAAGCATATTTTACCTGAGAGAGCTACCATGTCAGAGAGACTTAAGCCCACATTTTGAAACATTTTTACCAAGGTTTGGGCTGTTGAATTTGGGCCTGGAATGTTGGTATTTGCTGCTGATTTACTAGCACTTAAACTGTCCCTCCTTCCTGTCTGGACCTCCCACCCAGGCCCATTAGACTATAAAAATATTATCAGACAAAGCTCAGTAGCCTTTAAAAAAATATTTAATTTTTATTCATGAAAATAAAACTCAACCAAGAAATTACCATAAGAACGGAATCTCTAGCCGCAACAGCTAAAATATCTGCACAAGAAACAACTTCAGGGCAATTAGACTCCAATTCCAATTTAATGGAATCAATCACTTCAAAGCCTCTTAGAGAATTTAAGTTCGGTGCAGCGGTTTTCTCTCCAACAAAGTTACCAGTGTCATCTAACAATACCGAACCATCACATCCCTACAAATACAAAGAAAAATCAAATTATCTATATACTATTGTAACATTAAAACAAATTTGTATAGGGCTTCATGTTAATCTATGCATTCAACAAAACAGTCCCAATTAACTTTTGAGGTCAAACCTTTGATATAATTACCATTAGTTATATCTTATTCCATTTGAATTATTAAGTAAAATAATATACGTGCAATAATTGCTTTAGGATTAATCTCATCGAGTACAATATTATTTTTTAACGACAATTTTTTTATTATTATAAACCATTTGATTAAGTTCCACCTCTTTGGCAAACAAAGTCATACACTCATACATAAGTTCATTAAAGTCATACTCAGTTTATTAACTCTAAATTAACGGGAATACTTAGTTACATTAAAATTTCTTCTATTGTAACATGTTATTTTGCAACAAGTTTAATAGTAAGAGTTAGACTAGAAAGATAGAGATGATGCTTACATTAACAAAACAGTCATGAAAATGGAGGCGAAGCAAAGAAGCAGCCATTCTAGGATCATTAAGCACAGCTTTTTCGACCCACGAAAATATTATTGATTCAGCATCAGGGCAGCTATCTTGATACGCATCAACTCGCAGTACACCACTTGGAGAAGATCCTGAATAGGCTACATTGCCATCTTCAAGACATGTTTTATTCAAGGCTTTCGGCGGTCTTGCTGCATGAGCAACAACTACTAGTAGTAGTAACTCTAGCACCAAAACATTGAACACGCTCATTTTCGAACACATAATGATTGCTGGCTAAAGTAGCTTAAATCGATGATAGATTAGTATGCAAGTGATGATCTATTTATAGTGATGTAGTGAACGTAAGAAGGTGGAATAGTGGTTAGAATCACTGTGGAAATAGTCAATTAAAAGAAGAGGTGACATTGTAAGTGATTGAGTGAGTATAGAAACAAAGAAAAACCTAACATGTGAATGTTAGCTACTATGCAGTCATCATTTCGAAGCATTTCATCTTCTCAACGTAGGAAGTTATGTATGCATTGTAAGTATATCTTCTCTTTTAACTACTACGACGTACATTTCATTATTGAGATTGCTGCTTGTTTCGCTCGTTTATGTACGTTCCATTTAGAATCTTTCGTGTGAGGAGATGGAAACATTGATCTTTATAAGTAAATAAACATCCTAGCAAATAAAAAGAAACAGCGAGCGAGAGTACTCCAATTCGAAAAGTTGTGTACACACTGAGAAAACATATTGGATTACTTAAGCTACCCAAGCTAAGGAAAGTGTTTTCCTCTAGTGTATATTATTATGTCATAATTAGAGCTGTCAAAAGTTGATCCGACCCGAAATACCGACTCAAACCCGATTAATAACCGACCCATCTAAACCTGAAAAAATGGTGACCCAAACCCGACCTGAAACCAACTCTAGACCCGAATTGACCCGATTATGTAAGATTCGAACCCGATCATGAACTGACCTAGAGATGACCCGACCCGAATGTAACCTGTAAAAAATTGACCTGAACCGAACCCAACCTAAAACGAAATTGACCCAAACCCGTTTTAACATGTCAAAACCAGAATTTAACCTGACTTGTTACTAACCTGACCTGAATTCAACCCGACTGGTCGTTCCTAACCCCATCCAAATTTAACCCAACCTATTACAAACCCGACCCGAAATCAACCAGACTTGTTATTGACCTGACCCAAATTCAACGCGACTTGTTATTGACTCGACTCGAAAATTCAACCCGATCTGATACTAACCCGACTCGAAATCAACACGACTTGTTATTGACCCGACCTAAATTTAACCCAAATTGTTCCTAACCCGATTTCAAATCACCTTAAATGCAATTTAGACCACCTTATTATTGTTGATCAAAACATTTTGTCTAGGGAGACCAAGTCAGTCCAGTGCAGCAAAAAAAAGGAGAATCATCTTCAAATTTAAGAGTTAAATATAGTATATATTTGTTGTGTGGTCAAAGGGGATAATTATGTCTTCCTAAATTATAAACTATAGTTCCCTAGCATATATTGTCATACATATTAAAGTCAAAGGAAATAATTAGCTTCATAAAAATGATAATTATCTACTACCTCCGGTCCAAATTATTCGTAACTTTGGGGTATTATTTGTGAGATATAAAATATTCCAAAGTTGCGAGTAATTTGGACCGGAGGTAGTATTTAAAGTTACTTGAACCCGAATATGACTTGACTTGGAAATGACCCGACCTGATTGTAACCTGCAAATTATTGACTTGAACATAACCCAACTTGACTCCGAGAATGACCCGACTTGGAAATTAAATGATCCAACCTTATTATAACCCGCAAATTATAGACTTAAACCGAAGCCGACTTGAACCCGAGAATGACCCGACTTGAAAATGATCCAACCTGATTATGACCCGCAAAATATTGACTTGAACCGAACCCGACTCAAACCCAAGAATGACCCGACCTGATTCCAACCCACAAATTATCGACTTGAACCGAACCCGAGAATTACCCTAACCCGTTTTCATCCATGAAAATCCGAATTAAACCCGACATACTGTTCACCCGACCCAAATATAACCCAACCTTAACCTGACCTAAACCTGATAAGAAGTATGACCCGACGTGACCAGACTCAAGCATGACCCAACCCAAACCCGACTCGCATAGATTATGGAATTAATTCAAATTGACCCAACCCGAATTGAACTGACCCAAACCCGACCCGTTTACCCGAATTGACAGCTCTACCTGAAAACTCCAAAATTTCTCAAAAGTGTGGCTATAAGCCTTCAATTTTAGAATTTTTTTGACTTTTTTTCATCCGGAAATAAAAATTGACGAAATGTTTACTACAGTCCCAAATATCCTCCGGAAGTCAAATTGGCTGGGTGGAACCATCCAATTTGCCTTTAAACGACCTATTTACCGGTTTACAACTTGCACCGATTTCATTAACTCAAACTTACAACGAACATTTATGTCAACAATTAATTATCATATATGGATCCAAACGACATTATATGACCCTGAGATGTACCCCCTAAAATCTCAATACTTTTCGACACCGACCCCGAAACATTCGAAATTTCACAAAAAGCGTGGATAATTAGTCTTTAATTTTGGAATTTTTTGACTTTTTTACTCGGATATAGAAATTGAAAAAATGTTTACCGTGGACCCAAATACACTCCGGAAGTCCAATTGGGTGGGTGGAACTATCCAATTTGCCTTTAAACGACCAATTTAATTACCGGTTTACAACTTGCACGGATTTCATTAACTTAAGCCTATTACGAACATTAATGACCACAAATAGTGATCATATATGGTTCCAAACGACATTATATGACCTCGAGATGTATACTCTAGAAGCTCAAGGCTTTTTGATACCGGGTTCCGAAACCTCAAAAATTTCTCAAAAAGCGTGGATATTAACCTTTAAATTTGAAATTTTTATACTTTTTTTCGCCCGAAAATAATAATTGCCAAAATATTTACCATGGTCCCTAATAACCTTCGAGAGTCCAATTGGGTGGATGAAACTATCCAATTTGCCGTTAAACGGCCTGTTTACCGGCTTATAACTTGCACAGATTTCATTAACTCAAGCCTACCACGAACATTTAAGACAACAAAAAATGATCATATTTGGTTCCAAATGAGACCCCAGTTTTATCCCCTAGAATTTCAAGACTTTTCGACACCGGGCCCGAATCCTCATAAATTTCTCAAAAAACGTGGTTATTAGCCTTCAATTTTGAATTTTTTGACTTTTATTTCGCCCGAAAATAAAAATAGCCAAAATGTTAACCATGGACCCTAATGCCACCGGGAGTCCCATTGGGTGGGTGGAACTATCCAATTTGCCTTTAAACGACCAATATATCAGTTTACAACTTGCACCGTTTTCATTAAATCTAGCCTACCATGAACATTTATGACAACATATAATGATCATATATAGTTCCAAACAGCATTATATGACCCCGAGATGTATCCTCTAAAATTTCAAGACTTTTCTACACCGCGCCCCAAAACTTCCAAAATTTCTTAAAAACCGTGGATATTAGTCTTCAATTTTGGAATTTTTTTTACTTTCTTCGCCCGAAAATAAAAATTGCCAAAACGTTTACCATGGTCCCTAATACCCTCTGGGAGTCTAATTGGGTTGGTGGAACCATCCAATTTGCCTTTAAACGACCAATTTAATTACCAGTTCACAACTTGCACGGATTTCATTAACTCAAGCCTATTACAAACGTTTATGACAACATATAATGATAATATATGGATCTCATCGGCATTATATGATCCCGAGATGTATTCCCTAGAATATTAAAGCTTTTGGATACCGGACCCTGAATACTCCAAAATATCTCAAAAAGCGTGTATATTAGCCTTCAATTTTGAATTTTTTCACCTGAAAATAAAAATTACAAAAATGTTTAACATGGTTCCTAATGCTATCCGAGAGTCCCATTGGGCGGGTGGAATCATCCAATTTTCCTTTAAACAACCAATTTACCGGTTTACAACTTGCACCGATTTTATGAACTCAAGTCTACCACGAACATTTATGACATCATATAATGATCATATATGTTTCCAAACAGCATTATATGACCCCGAGATGTATCCTCTAAAATTTCAAGACTTTTCAACACCCGACCCTAAAACCTCAAAAATTTCTCAAAAAGCGTGGATATTAGTCTTCAATTATGAAAATTTTTGACTTTTTTTGGTCCGGAAATAAAAATTGCCGAAATTTTTACCATGGTCCCTAATACTATCCGGGAGTCCAATTAGGTTGGTGGAACCATCTAATTTGCCTTTAAACGGACAATTTAATTGTCGGTTTACAACATGCACAGATTACATTAACTCAAGCCTATTACTAACATTTATGACACCATATAATGATCATACATATTTCTCAATGGCATTATATGACCACGAGATGTAATCTATAGAATATCAAGGCTTTAGGATACCGGACCCATAATCCTCCAAAATTTCTCAAAAAGCGTGGATAATATCCTTCAATTTTGAATTTTATAACTTTTTTCGCCCGAAAATAAAAATTTCCGAAACGTTTACCATGGTCCCCAATGCCATCCGGGAGTCCAATTGGGTGGGTGGAACCATCCAATTTGCCTTTAAACGACCAATTTACCAGTTTACAGATTGCACCGATTTCATGAACTCAAGCCTACCACGAACATTTATGACATCATATAATGATCATAGATGTTTCCAAACAGAATTATATGACCCCGAGATGTATTCTCTCAAATATCAAGACTTTTCAACACCGGGCCCCAAAACTTCCAAAATTTCTCAAAAAACGTGAATATTAGTCTTCAATTTTGGAATTTTGACTTTTTTTCTCTTTAAAATAAAAATTGCCGAAATGTTTACCATGGTCCCGTACATCCTCCGGGAGTCCAATTGGGTTGGTAGAACCATCCAATTTGCCAAAAAAAGGCCTATTTAATTACCGGTTTACAACCTGCACGAATATCATTAACTCAAGCCTATTACGAACATTTATGACAACATATAATTATCATATATGGTTCTTAATAGCATTATATGACCTCGAGATGTATTCTCTAGAAACTCAAGGATTTTTTATACCGGGCCCCAAAACCTCAAAATTTTCTCAAAAAGCATGAATATTAGCCTTTAAATTTGGAATTTTTATACTTTTTTTTTTACCCGAAATTAATAATTGCCGAAATATTCACCATGGTCCCTAAAAACTTCGGGAATCCAATTGGGTGGGTGGA